CTTTTACCCACGCTGACTATTCTGTCGCTTTGCCCGCTTTGTCCATCTCCACACCAAGCGTTTAGACGTCCATTTCGAATAAATGCATTTGTGTGTGTGTATGCTTGTGTGTATTTGGGGGCTGAAGAGACCTGCGTAGGTCGATTTCACCAAAGATGAAAACGGTTTCCTCTTCTCGGCTTTGGTTGGCATGTAGTAGAAACCTTTTGGCAAAACAAGGCTAGGCCAAATTTAATGGAACCGTAAGGTCTACTCATACGATTGTGGATAAATTCAACTACCAGTCCCATTGCCACTTAAAATGAAATAGGGTGAAGACACCTCATACAAAAAGTTAAAGCTAACTTCAGCTAATCAGCTAGACTGTAATTTCGTGTGAAATTGCATGAAGAAGAGATTCACAGGCCGATCTCACCAGAAGACGACGGCCGATACCCGGTGTTCTTCGGCACTGTTTGGCTTTACTCCTCTCTGGTATTAGAGGAAAATGGGCTGAGTCCTCACGAGAGGAGATCTGGAGGATCGCGACAACATAAAGATTGTAGTAAATCTAAATGGTGAGATCAACCCATACGAATCTCTTCATCGTGAAAATTGAAATGAAATGAAAGTTTTTCAACGGATTTATCGAAATTCAAGTACGTTTGTAGATAGGCAGATAAACTGGGTTTCGATTAATCTCCTGAGATAGCATTGTTGGGGAGACTTTTATTTCGTATGAAAGTGCATGAAGAAGAGATTCAAAGGTTGATCTCTCGTTTCGGGTGAAAACGATGGAGGATGTCACGTGTACTGAGTCAACTTGATCGTGATAGTAAAGCCAAACGGCTACAGTACAACAGGATCCAGCCGAAGTCTTCTGGTTAGATCAACCAACGAATCTCCTATTCATTCATTTTCATACGAAATTAAAGTCTCCTCAAATACTCCTCGCATATGCAGTTAGACTCGTTTGTAGAGTCTGAAACCTCCACCGAGAGGTACCAGTGCGTAACTGAGACTGGATACAGGAACAACGAGGAAAAAGTTATCTGATGACGGATTTGTCAGTTGTTCCCCGCCCCCACCGTCTGTAGAACTCCTTCTCATTTCAGTAAAGAAAAGTCTATAAGCAGTTAAGCAGACAATTTTTTTCGTTCTAATCCAGCTTAAATGTGTTTATCTTTCTCAAAGTTTTATGCATTCAATTAGGCCCATTTGCCCATTTTTTGTGGTAGACATAAAAGACGTTCTAACAATACTCTGCCCTGCTTATGTCCAACTTATGATGAACAAAAAGTTGTTTTTTTTCACCA